CCAACAGTTTCTTAAGAAACTAATATTTTTGTTTCCTTTGTAAGTAGGTCATTGACTTAGCCTTGATCTGGGATCTTGACATCGGATTCTTACAGAAATACACTTGGAATCATGCTAAAACTAGCTAGACGTCAGTGACAGCTTCAATTGACAAGAACAGGAAGTTTAACAAATCAGCTTCGTTAACTCGTTTTAGCTGTCTCCACTGCACTCAGAACTCCAGTCTACGCTGAATGCTGGCTGATACTATCGGGACAGTTGGCAATATTTCTCCCTTCAAGAGCACCAGTGCTTGGCTGAAAGTAAAGGACGCCGTTCACCTTGAAGAAAAGTAACAAGAAAATCATCAGCCTCACGTCGAACCTCGAACGCACAAGCTCTTCGGGTTCGTCACACAAAAAGAACAATTGATAACCGTCGATTAAAGTCTTGCGTGATAAAAATCGAGAGCGAATAATCTCATTGTTTAATAGTATTGTTCACGTTTGTTGTTCCTAGCAGGTGGCCGCTTTGTCGTGGCATTACTGCTTAGTTGTAAAACGCTCTGTGAAAAATTATTCTGTCAACGAAAAAAACCAAACAACTACATCAAATAACACATACCTCGAAATGATCAATGCAGCCAGTGAAATCCTGTACAAACGCAGGGTCATTATCCACGGCATTAGGGTTCACATTCGACAACTTGCGAACTCCTCCCAGGTAGAAATTCGAATCGACATCAAGAGCCACAGCAGTCCCAGGCGACGTGACACGCACAGGAACACTACCATTGACTATCAAATTTCCACTTCTGGCATTTCGATCCACTTTTACCGTGTGCCACGTATTTAGAGTGATTGTTGAGTTGCTCGTAGCCTCGCCAACGCCCCTGCCAAGGTCATATCTCAACTTAACAAACCTAGGGAAGGCAAAAAGATTTACACGTCTTATCGTTGGTTGCTATTGAATGTAAGAACCTGAGGCATAAATCATGACCTAAATTTTGTCCCGTTGTACTCTCGCCTTGCGGACACGCCGCTATCACGAACACCCACCGTAACGGACAGATACTAAAGCCCCGGTCAAAATTACAAAGACGTGTATGGAAACAACTCCCGCAATTACGGAATTGCGGGCACTTCATGTGATCCCAAAGTAATATTTTAAATTATTGTTCTCTTGCTACTACGGAAAACTTGGACAAAATTTTTCTGCAGTCTTGAAACATTTACTAGTTTGTGCACTATTTTGGCCTATATTAGATAATTATGTGTCAGAGAGGACGAGAACTACAAATTACAAGGCACTGGAAATCTTAAAAGAATATAGCAGTATACGTTATTTGCGACACTTCACGACCAAAAATTGAGTCATTTTCGTCAGTGATGATCACGCCCCGCTACTGCGAACTCTCTCCACTACGGACAACAAATGATGATCCCGAAGGTGTCCGCTATAACGAGAGTTGACTGTAGTCTCTGTAATCCCTCACTCTGACTACCTACAACTGCCAAGGACTTTGAGTAAGTCTACGTTTTTCTAACCTTACCCATTATGCAGAATAATGGACAAGAAGTCCCCCGTTGTGCTTTGATCATTACGAGATACATAAAACAGAATTCCATTGAGGGCCAAGGGTTTGAAGTTGATGGTGATCTGGGTACTAGTTCTTACGTAGGTCTTCGGAAACAGCATATATGAAAAATTCTGGAACAGCGGTGTTTCAATTAAAATATCTAGAAACGGAGGAAAAAAGACAATCATTACAAAGTCATAGGAAAACGACAAACATGCCTGCTCAAATACACACAAAAAGATCTACCCGTGACGAAGCATCTATCAATGTGAATAGCAGTACATCCTAACTTATTGGCCGTTTTTAAGCTAGGGACGTTATTAAATGTCCCTCAGACGTGAAAGCTGTCTCGAGACGACTTTAACGTCTAGTATAAAAACGGAAAATAGGAAGACGTTTTTAACGTCTGTCTACTTTAACGTCTTCTTTTAAGAGCGTCTGAACGACGCTTTTATCAGTCGCCTT